TCAAATTATAAAATAAATTAGTCATAGGAAGAAAAGTACACCATAGAGAATATAACCAATAATATTGTAGTACCTTGGTATAGTAACAGGGTACCTACACTTACTGTGATGAGCATTTAGTAATGTATATAATTAGCAACTCACTGTGTTCTACATCTGAAATCAATGTATATCAACTATATTAAAAAATATATTGATAGGTGTTAAATCCAGGATATGTGAGAGGTCATTTTCATGTTCACTCTACTTTTGTAATATCTCTGAAAATTTTTATGAGAAAATATGAACACATAAAAAAACATAGTCACATAAATGTAGCATTATAAATTTGGTAAAAAATTAAAATTTTATCCCAATTCTAGCCTTAATTTGTGAACTGTCATAAAATTTCAGGTGATGGGTGGATTCATAATGTTGTAACAAATTGTTGGAAAAAACTTACACATTTACCTAAAACAAGACCCAGGTAAGTCTCAAAGTTGACAAATAGTAAAATAGTTAAGAATTTTTTAATTATTAAAATATAAAACACAATGTATTTAGAGTTCATCCTAACTACAAATGTGATTCTTATATTTTCATGTGTAAAAATTATAGTGTTTGCTGTTAAAACTATAAATCATAAGGAAGAATATCTTTCAAATAAGCTTGCAGTTACCTAAATAATTTATCATTTTAATTATACCTGATTGTTAGAAATGATCTGTTCCATTTCTATCCATATTTAAACATTTGAAAATGTTATTCTTTTAGGTAAATGCATAATTTTGCCTGATAAATTTGAAAAGAAATTGAATGTATCATTATTATGTTGATATTTTTAATAAGTTGCCAAGAATAATGGGGTTGGCTTCAGTTATTTGTTTTTGCCAGAAATTTAGAGCAATTTAATGAGGAAATTGATTTCATGTTGATCAAATCAATGGCAGATTACTGTTTTTCTTTATTAACTGTATGACATGGTGATTAATGTGACTTCTTTCAGAAAAAACATGTTAATTGTGGTATAGAGTAAAAATTGTAGAAACAATATACTATTATTAGTCTACAAAGAAAACTACATTAGCATTATAATTCATTTTTTCTAATTTATTGAGTATTATAATAAAGATATGCTCAGGAAATTCAAATTTAACACAACAGTCATAGTTAGTAATAGATTTTGTTCTTTTTCATGTCATGTGTTTCACAATTCTTTTTATTATAGATGACTTATACTAGAGTGAAGTCAACTTAATGAAGTGTATTTCAGAAGTTTAATAAATGACAAGTAGTTTGAGAAGAAACTTAAAATATTTATATATATATATATCTGTATATATTAATATCACAATGTATTTAGAGTTCATCCTAACTACAAATGTGATTCTTATATTTTCATTTGTAAAAATTAATCGGAATTTATTATTTTAGCAAATCTGGATCTTGAGAGCAGTTTTTTCCTTTAAGATCTGAGATGACCAAAACCCTTTTATTTTGACTAATACAGTACCTAGATTTTTATATTTTTTCCCCTTGCCACAGGATTTCTATTAATGGAGAAAATCCCAAACATCGGTCATGGCATACTTTAACACCAGTAGCTGATGATAAACTTTTCCTATTTGGTGGACTAAGTGCTGACAATATTCCATTAAGTAAGTCAATTTAAGTTTAGTCTATAATAATTATTATCTCATTCTTTTTTCTTACTGTATTTGATTTTTAAGGTGTCTTCCTTTTTTTTCTGATTTTCTGGTTTATTTTTATTGCCAGCTATATGCCTGCATTAAGAATTAGAAGACTCCTTTGCTTTTGTGCTTCACTGTCTGTGCTCTGCTGTCCGTGAGGTAGAGAAAAAGAAGTGTGGCTGAACCAAGATGAATTAAAGCCTCTTTTAACTATAATATTCTGTGATTTTTGTATCCTGACTTGTAACCCAGATGCTTATACTGTAGGCTGGGAAGGGGATTAGAAAAGCTGCCTTTCCCAGAAGATTCTGGGAATACAAGATGGGAAGGCCAGTTGCTTCTCTTTTTGTTCAGAACTATAAAGGAGAGTGCTTAGCTAATATTCTTAAACTCCTCTCACTGCTGATCCCGTGGCCATAGTTTTGTAAAGCAGTTTTTCTTTAAGCAGTAAAATTGTGGTATCAGGATAGACAAATGACCAAGAATTACCACTTCCTAGTTGGACATGTTAAATATTTTTGTTTTCTCAGAATTTTTAATATGGCTATAGATGTTTTCATAAGAAACATTATATGCCATGGAAACCATTTATATGATTTTATATAGGATCTGGAAAAACATTTTATTTTTCAACAAAGATGTATTGAGCATCAGCTGTGCATCTAGCAGTCTTCTGGCCAACAAATAAACTCCAGGGGCCGGTTGGAGAAACAGGGGAAGTTAGTTATTACAGATCATTATGCCTCTTCAATTTGTGGGGTTTATTTTTTTAATTCTAGAAGACTTGGAATATAATTTTAAAAAATAACATCTATTCATTTCAGTAGGGTTTAATAGCATATCTTCAAGAGATCTAGTGTTTTTCATTTCTATTTGCTGTTTTTTGTCATTAACTATGTCCTAGCTCCAGTCAGTTTTCTTCCTTGCAGGTTCAGCTTCACATATGATTATGGGTACTAGATGATACCAAAAAATTATTTTTAGTTTTGTTGACTATGATAATGGCATTGCAGTTATATAAAAAATGTCCATGCTTACTGAATGCTTACTGAAGTATATATAGAGAAATTATAGGAGATTAGGATTTACTTTAGAATAATTCAGCAGCAAAAATAACAGAGAGATATGGAGCACATGTGGTCAAATATTGATAGTTGTGTGTGGGGGGGGTGAGTGAAATAGGTGGAAGGGATAAAGAGGTACAAACTTCAAATTATAAAATAAATTAGTCATAGGAAGAAAAGTACACCATAGAGAATATAACCAATAATATTGTAGTACCTTGGTATAGTAACAGGGTACCTACACTTACTGTGATGAGCATTTAGTAATGTATATAATTAGCAACTCACTGTGTTCTACATCTGAAATCAATGTATATCAACTATATTAAAAAATATATTGATAGGTGTTAAATCCAGGATATGTGAGAGGTCATTTTCATGTTCACTCTACTTTTGTAATATCTCTGAAAATTTTTATGAGAAAATATGAACACATAAAAAAACATAGTCACATAAATGTAGCATTATAAATTTGGTAAAAAATTAAAATTTTATCCCAATTCTAGCCTTAATTTGTGAACTGTCATAAAATTTCAGGTGATGGGTGGATTCATAATGTTGTAACAAATTGTTGGAAAAAACTTACACATTTACCTAAAACAAGACCCAGGTAAGTCTCAAAGTTGACAAATAGTAAAATAGTTAAGAATTTTTTAATTATTAAAATATAAAACACAATGTATTTAGAGTTCATCCTAACTACAAATGTGATTCTTATATTTTCATGTGTAAAAATTATAGTGTTTGCTGTTAAAACTATAAATCATAAGGAAGAATATCTTTCAAATAAGCTTGCAGTTACCTAAATAATTTATCATTTTAATTATACCTGATTGTTAGAAATGATCTGTTCCATTTCTATCCATATTTAAACATTTGAAAATGTTATTCTTTTAGGTAAATGCATAATTTTGCCTGATAAATTTGAAAAGAAATTGAATGTATCATTATTATGTTGATATTTTTAATAAGTTGCCAAGAATAATGGGGTTGGCTTCAGTTATTTGTTTTTGCCAGAAATTTAGAGCAATTTAATGAGGAAATTGATTTCATGTTGATCAAATCAATGGCAGATTACTGTTTTTCTTTATTAACTGTATGACATGGTGATTAATGTGACTTCTTTCAGAAAAAACATGTTAATTGTGGTATAGAGTAAAAATTGTAGA